ACCATGCGATTGTATGTGGGTGTGAAACCCTTGGCGGGGGAAATGATGTCGTACCAGCCCGCCTTACCAGCAACCCAGAGCTCAATGCTCTTATCTTCAGTTTGGCCGTAGGCGTAGTGTGTGACCTCATCAATAATAATGCGCTTAGGGGGGTTGTCCGGGTTGAGCACTAGTGAGCGAGTGACTGGTCAGCAAGCTGCTTGATAAATGCGCATTGATACAACGATACACACCTAAGTGTTCCTGGTCCTCACGAAGCGGCTCTAGGCAGCCGATCACCTGCACTGGGTTCTGTTCCGTGGCGTCCAGTAGATTTGCATATAGCATCTTCCCAGGCTTTAGGACCTTCACATCGGTTAGGCCGAACTCCCACCAATCATTCTCATCGGTGATAGAGGGATCGGTGGGAGCTAGGACGGTTTCTTCACGGGATGTCATGGTGGAATTGGCATGGTGGGTTTTGACGACGTCGAAATATTGATAGTGAGGTAATGTTAAGTAACCGAGAATATGAGAGCGAGAAGAAGGTGACTGGGAATGGAAGCTTGTAGCTGTCAACAGTCGAAGTCATCGATCACCAGTAAATTACGGATACACCCAGTTACCCGCAATAATTAGTTACATGGAGTTTCTGCCTAATTTATCGGGACTTAATGCATGTCACGTGTATGCATAATTACATAAGAATTTAAAGTTACTGTCCACGGATCCACGGGTCTGATCTAAATTAAACTCCGATCTGGATATTCTCGGACGTTTGAAAGGCTACCTGCATATCTATGTGTATTAGATCTTGGTGCCAAGCGTGGGGTACAAAGGGATTTTTGGGCTTCAATTCAGGCTTCCCTGAAATGACAACAAATTGAAAGACCGAAGCCATCCCTCTCGAGTGTCAGGATCGTCGACTCTGGTATGGGGTTGAGGACCTATCTATTTTCTTAGAAAAGGTTGGCTGTATAATCTCTTCATTCATAAAATATTTCAGCAGTGTAGTACTCCACAGTCTAAGCATCAGACTATTAGTCTTTAGATCTGGTCCAAGTCAGGAGAGCGTTTCTTGTTGTTCGAGAGCAATATTACGTAGGATGAACGATATCAACTTCGCTGTGCAAACGTTCAGGTACTAGTGATCTTTCTTGCTAGTGTCATTTTGAGAAATGGAAGGTCAGACTGTCCTGGACTCAGTTTCATCAATTCTAGGATTGTCCTATGTATCGATTGAGTAGGAGGTACTGATGGTTACTAGCCCTGGAGCTAGAAAGGGCCAGAGATCCCACGTCAGTAACTATTGTATATCGATATTTCCTGATGGCAGATTCTAAATCTCTTCCGCACAGAGCCATGTTTAGGTTGGAGATGGAAGAACCTTGTCAAGTGGAAGCTAGGCTGTTGCATCCCAACAGACGAGGAATGCGTTAGTTGTCACAGCTACCGGTTAGACGCTTATGCGTTTAGTCATTGTATAAAATCAAAATAGTCCACGGCTATAGTACAGAGTATCAGAGCGAGTAAATTATGAATCACTGTAGTCATCGTGTAGTGTAGAATGTCAAGTCATGGATTACGGCAATGTCTTGAGTTGCCCTAATTATTTTGGTAGGAATTGAGTTACAATCTTGGCTTTCACTTTATGTCTCTGTTTTTTTGTTCTCGTGATGTTATAAGAGAAAAGAGAATATGAAAAACGACATCTATAGGGACATCAAAGAGATCAAAAAAGATGCCTTCATATTGTACCTGAAAAGAACACTAGAGTAATACCGAAGCCTTTCATCTATATAATACTGTAATATCTATACATATTCTCATTAATTATCAAGAATTCTGCATATAAATTATACCAAAATCATAGGACAATCGCCTTGTCGTGGTCATAAAGAACTGCCGTAAAGGCGGGAGCCAATCTCAACCAAAATCACTTTTTTCCATTTTGGTTCACCTCCCATCCCCCAGATGCCATTCCCTCCAGGTTTTCGACTTTTTCGCAAAACAATGTCTGGCGAGAAGATCCTTGAAGGCGTATTCGGTAAGCTTGAATCCTACTAAAGCAAGACTTTGATCTCTAACTTCTCCGATAGCCGTCCACAAGCCGCAAGGCGTTACCTCCGCCGACGTGATCCGCACTTTGCAGAAACACTTCAACCCCTCCAAGACATTCAGACCATGGTTAGACGAGGAACGCGCCCGCCGCGACCGTGAGAGCCAATTCCAGCGCAAGCGCCGTCGCCACCAACGCCTCGACGTGAAGATCGGCCACGGCGGAACCTTAGACCCGCTCGCGACAGGCGTGCTCATCACCGGAATTGGCAAGGGCACAAAGTCCCTCCAGGATTTCCTGGCCTGCACCAAGAGCTACGAAACAATTGTGACCTTCGGCGCGGAGACGGATACCTACGACCGTCTTGGAAAAATCGTGCGTCGCGCGCCCTACGAACATATCACGCGCGAAGCTGTTGAGAAGGCGCTGGAACAGTTCCGCGGGAAAATCATGCAGAAGCCGCCTATTTTCTCTGCTTTGCGGGTGAACGGAAAGAAGTTGTACGAATATGCGCGCGAGGGCAAGATGCCGCCGATTGAGATTAAGCACCGGCCCGTTGAGGTCTTGAACATGGAGATTGTGGAGTGGTACGAGCCCGGCACGCACGAGTACAAATGGCCCGAGGAGGAGATGACTGGGGATGAGAAGGCTGTTGCTGAGAAGCTTCTTGATCAGGAAGCCTCGGTGTCTGAGCCATCGGCTGAAGGTGAAGCTGCGACCCAAGTCCCCGAAGCTTCTTCCACCAAGCGGAAGTCGCCACCCCCGGCGGATGAGGTGAAGGATGATAGTGCGGATGCTGCTAAGAAGCAAAAGGTGTCTGAGACTGAAGCCGCGCCTGTAGCACCTGAGTCTACGGCCCCCGAACCTGCAACCACAGAGGTCCCTGTTGCTCCTGCAGAGGAGCCCAAGCCCCAGCCTCCGGCGGTGAAGATCAAGATGACTGTCACCTCGGGCTTCTATGTCCGCTCGCTGGCACATGATCTGGGCAAGGCTGTTGGTAGCTGTGCTCTGATGAGCGAGCTAGTGCGCAGTCGTCAGGGTGACTATGAACTCTCCCCTGACAGAGTTCTGGAGTACAAGGACCTTGAGGCCGGCGAAGAGGTCTGGGGACCGAAGGTAGAGAAGTTCTTGTCAGAGTGGGAGGAGAAGAGAGCTACCAAGGCTGAAGCTGAAGCAGCTCAATAGACTGTAAAGGCTCTAAAATGATACAGCATTTGTATATAGACTTGCTATCTGTAATATCAACCCTTGAATTCAACATACTATGTATCATATCTTGTCTTTTCAGTGTAGTCTATCTCGGTATGTAGCGTGTGATAGCTACAACTCGAAATATTTCTTATGGCTCACTATTGGCGCTTTTATAATTCATCTATAGCTACAGGGTCTTGCCTTCACAATTGATAGAGATGATAAATGAAAACTGCCATTTTTTGGTTATCCAGACCCAAGCGAGAAAAAATAATTACATGATGCACGATACAAATGCAATATCACAACAGAACCCATCACGTCAAAACGATTAGTTGCGTCCCTTGGCTTGGACTCTCTTGCTCTTACCGGGTCGCTTTGCGCCACCCTTCATCTTCTTAACGGAAAAGTTGCTCAGATCACCACTGGATGCGGCATCACCGCTCTTAGCATGGCGCTTCTTGCCTCCGAATCCGAACTTGGCGTCCTTCTTCTGGCGCTTGTTGCCACCGGGGCCATCGCCACGGCTACGCTTCTTGTCGGGCTGGGTAGCCTCGTCAATGGCAATGTCGAACATATCATTGGCGTCATCGGTAGGAGCAGAGCCATCAGCCTTGCGCTCTGTGTGAAAAATCAGGTTAGCGAATACAAAATTCATAGAAAGATATCAAGAGCAAAACAAAGTGAAGACATACTCTTCTTGAGGGTGTTGATCTTCTCCAACATCTCGCGCTTCTCCTTGTGTCTCTGCTGCAACTTGGAGTTCTGGACCTGCTTGCCGAACTTCTTAAGATCACGCTGGCGGCGCGCCTCGGCAGAAGCCTTCTTGCTGGCAGCCTCTTCGTAAAGCTTCTTCTTGATCAAGGCCATGTGCTCGTCGTTCTTCACCATCTCCGCGAAGTAATCACCCGGCCGCGTGAAGGGAACGCCTTCCTTCTTCAGCAGACCACGGGCCTGGGTAGCAGCAACCTGGCAGACCTTGTAGAAGGCCAATTCACGGTTCAAATCGTCATTGGCATCTTCGATCTCGATCGGCTCTTTCGAGACTAGGGAGTTGTGCTCTGAGAATGGGGTCTGGGGGCCGATGAAAGAAATGCGCTTGAGGGCGGAGAGGATAGCGGCAGAGTTGTTGATTGTCAAACGTTGGTGGGGAACAACATCCTCGCGCTCGTCTTCATCGAGGTCGGAGAGTGGGATGTCTTCTTCCTCTTCCTCTTCCTCTTCCTCCTCATCTTCCATCTCCTCGTCCTGGTCGGCCTCTTCCTCTTCTTCCTCTTCGGCGTCAGAGCTGGTGACCTTCTCGTCCTCCTCCTCCTTCTTCTCGTCCTCCACGACCTTGTCCTCGGGAGCGGCGGAAGTCTTCTTGGCCTTCTTTTTTTCTGCGGCCTTGATCAATTTCTTCTGCTTCTCGGCGTCGAAATCACGGCCCTTGTGGGCATCGAGAGCCTGGAGTAACTTGCTGCGTTTGACCATTGTTGCTTTCTGTTAAAATACAAAGACAAATTTGTATTTTGGGTAATGTGAAAGGAATTGAAAAGAGGAAAGCAACTTGCTATCAAACCCGCATCAGAGAATCCACGGGATTTTTTTGAAATCGCGCTAGTCCTGATCTGGCTAGCCCCACAGATAAGCCCACACTAGTCCACACATAGCAATATCTCGGAAATACATATGATCCGCTTCCTTATCGTGCCCACCGCCCTGTCAACTGTCTTCGACTCTACATACCTCCAAACAGTTCTGTAGCAGAGAGTGCATAGGTAGTCTCACAATGGCCGACGATTCCAAATCTCCTTCTCCGGAAAAGCTCTCTCCCCTACCAGAGGGCGAGTCTCTTCTATCCCAACCGGTACATACCTTCTACAAGCTCCAAACCCCACTTATCGCTCTTACTAAATGCCCTCAGAACTCTGATGCCCAAGGCCAGCTCGCCGCAGCTGTGGACGATCTACTCAATGAACTTCAAAGCAAATTCGACGCTGTCTCTACGGAGATGTTTGGCAAACGTGAGTCCCTGCCTCAATCGTCCTCCACCGTCGCCATCAATACATCTTCATGCCTGCGACTGCGAACTAACCTATGTTTATGCGCAGTGGATGACATGACCAAGCGCCTTGATGAGCTAGAGGCGTCTCTAACTGCAGCTGCGGAGGCTGGAGCCACGAGTCCGACAAAATAAATATGAACGCCTTTTATCCACACTCCGACTTTGTGCATTCTTTTTCACGTGGCGTTTTTGGCGAGAGAGAAATGAGCGCTGTATTTTTTGGCCTGTCCAGCTCTGCTGGATCCCTGTACCAATAGCCCAACACATACTTTACTTGTGGTATGCATGATGCTTTCTGTGAGCGTGCATTGAATGGCCGCATGGCATGAGCACACTGGCTTGAGTCTGGGCTTGATACTTAATGCTTTTACGATCCCATAGATACCCCACAATCAAACGAGGATACTCGTGCAGAATAACCATGTTTCTTTATTGACTTTTGTGGATCTAGTTCATAATCACATAGGCATTGGTGAGAAGGTAAGAGACACCAAGGTTCGTACTCAATTCGTAAAATATACAGCATCAAGCCAATACTTTCGTTTACAATTCAATACATTTCCATCGAATCCATGCTTTATAGCTGTCCCGGTCCTCACTCTAGATTCACAGTGACTAGAGCCCTAAGCCAAAAATCCAAAATGGAAAAACACAAAGATCTAGAAATAGCAATGACAAAAAACTTAAAGCTCATCATGCTTCTCCTCGCCAACAAAGCGGCTGAGAATGTTGCTGCGAGAGAGGATGTCATCCAGTTTCTCGGGGGCCGAGCCACCCTTAGCCAGGATCTTGCGGAGACGAGTGAGCTCCTTATCAGCGTAGCCCTCGTTCTTGCTCAGCTTCTCCGCAGCCTTGACATAGTACTCAGCGTACTTGTCAGAAAGACCCTCGGCAGCCTTCTTAACCTCAATCACCAGCTTGTCGAACTTCTTCGCCGCGACGTTCTCAGTAACAATCTCGTCCAGAGCGGCGATGGTGCCGGCCAAGCTGTTAAGACCGCCACCGACGGCACGGTGTGTACCAGCCTTCTCGTTGATGAACTTGACAAAGGCCTCCTCGGAACGTGGGCCGGAGTACGGCTCGGGCTCGGTCGAGCCCTTGGGGAAGAACTTGATGGTAGGGAATCCGGTAATACCCTGTTCCTTGGAGAGGGCACGGGAGTTCTCAGCTTCAGCGTCGACCTTGGCGATAACAACGCCGGACTCGAGGGCGAAGTCGTTGGCGAGGGTTTCCCAGGTAGGAGCGAGGGTCTTGCAGTCTGAAAGGACGGAGCAATTAGTAAATATCCATGAGTAGAGACCAAACTAGACCAGAAACAGGTCAATCAGGGAATAAACTCACGTCCACACCACGGCGCGGTGAAAGCGACCAGCACATCCTTATCGCCACCAACAACAGTCTTGAAAGAAGCATCATTCAGCATCTCAACCTTGCTAACCTCCTTCTGCGCGGCACGAGGCTTGATGCCGGTCTTCTCGGTGATGAAGGCAGACAAGCTCTCGAGGTCACGAGCGCCCTTGTACTCCTCGGGCTTATCGCTCTTTCCATCGAACCACTTGACAGTAGGGAAGCCCTGAATACCGAAGCGCTTGCCGAGCGAGCGGTTCTCGTCGGCGTCAACCTTGGCGATGGTGACCTTGTCTTCGGCGAAGATGAAGGTCTGCGCAAGCTCTTCGTAAATGGGGGCAAGGGTCTTGCAGTGGCCGCACCAGGGAGCGAAGAATTCGACCAGTGCGGGCTTGCCGGTCAGGACGACTTCGTCGAAGTTGGTGGGGAGTAAGTCTTTCACTACGGAGCCTGCAGTAGCGAAGCCGCTGAGGGCTGAGAGGGCTCCGACGAGCAGGAAGCTCAAGCGTGCCATTGTATATATGGATTTGTGTGTGAGTGTACCGGGTGGAAGTAGTTCACAAAGCAATGTGGATGACGGAGTTAAAGCTCGGGGGAGGCGATGACAAACAAAGCCGAAGAGGCCACTTGGTGCCTCCACAGCTCTGCAGATCACCTCCATCTACTTCCAAGCTACGATATATACACCTATGCTAGGTTTTTATTATTCTGCTTTTGGGTGGTATCGAGTTTCTTTTTTTTTTCTTTTGTTTTGTCTGCTGCTATCTGGGTAGTTAGTAATACACTGGAGATTTGTCGGTATCGCATTTCCTTGGGCATCGGAGCTGTTGGCATTAAACTTCAATTGCAAGCGATTAACTCAAACCAGAATCCCCGCGGTGGTTGATTGGTGTTGGCAAAGCTTGCCCATATCATCGTCTCTCTGCCAGCCATTTGTTTGCGTCTTCCCAGAACTTTGCTTCCTTGAGCTCCTTGCCCGTACTCTGTGTTCCTGCGTAAACCTATCGTGAAAATCAGCTTTTGGTCGGTAAATAATATTCAACATCAGGCAATACGAACCGCATCCCACAGCTTGAATGCCAAATCCAAGTTTCCAATAAAGCTCTCGCTGTGTTGGAACCATTCCTTGCCCTTCGCCTTCACATCCGCTCGAGCCTCAGGCGATGTCGGATTTGCCTGTAGTGGCAGATCGTCGAGGTAAGTCCGAACTGCGATTCCAAGTCCACAGTCGTTATCATCAATAAACGGAAGCCTAGGAGAATAGGTTAGAACAACAGTCCAGATCCAGCGTCGCTAGTCTAAAAGGAACATACTTGATAGCCATCTCAGTCCAGTCGTTGCGGTCCCGATCAGCGTCGCCACTGAGCAGCAGACTAGCCAGTACCACCTCGATCAGATTCCTCAGTGCAGAGCGCACCTCGGAAATCAAAGAGCGGTAGCAAAGAAGCTGACGGCTCAGAGGTCCAGAATATCCAATGCTCTTGTGCTGAAGCTTGGCAACGCATGCAACACGCGAAACCAGCATATTGAAGATCTTGTCGTCTTCGGATCCTCTCATAGGACCGCCAGATACATGTGAAAACCAGGACTTAGTGTTGAGGAGACCCAGGCGGATCATCTCAATAGCAATGAATATAGATTCCTCGAGGTTATCCGAAGGTTCGATGCCTGATAATGCCTGCACTAGACACTGGCCCCACGGAGTGAGCTTGTGCTTGTCGTCGACGTATCCACGCAGTTGCAGGAAGCGCCACATAACATTAGATAAGATATCCTCCTGCGATGAAAGGACCTTTGGAAGCTGTTAGTTAAAGTAATGTCAAACCTATGGGTAAACTCACAGGGGTTTCTTTATTAGCAAATGACTTAGACACAAAGTCAGAGTCCATTAAGCTCTGGACAGCAAACTTAAAGGATCCGCGAGGCGCCTGGAGCTTCTTGATACTTTCGGGGAATTGTTCTCCGTGGATCTTCCAAGGATGGATGGTGTCCTTGACTGACGGGATGCCCTTGAGGTTGATCGTCCGCTCCGAGTTCTCATCGAACCATGGGCGGATCCGAATGACTTTCGTTTGGTAGAATCGGTGAAGCGAGTTTGCTAGGAGACAAATAGACTGGGTGCGGACGGGTGTCAAAATGTCACCCACGAGCTGGCGGTAAATCTCAGTGTCTTCGGCACCCAGCGGCAGCGAGATACGAACTTCGCCAGTTGTGAGGAAATTGGGTACATCAGCTCCGATTATACCTTTAGAGAGATAGAAGTACAGCTCCTCCGGGAGGCGCTGCCCGATAAGCTCATGCAGATCCGACGAGGTATTGTCTGGATCCATAGGACCCACTCGACCTTCCACGTCAATATAGACATGGTGCTTCACAATCATATACGCTCGCTTATACAGGTCTGCGTATTGAAGCTCCTGCATACGACGATCCTCTTCAAATTGGGCGCACAGTGTCAATGCACTGCGTCCAGCTGCATTGAACATCGGCAACGCATCACGAATGGTGGGGCTCTTGCCGGGGTAAGCAGGGTTCTCAAAAAGTGGGAGGGATCGCAGAAAGGGGGAGCCCAGTAGTAAACAGAAGTCCAGGAATTGTTCATTGGAAAGTCGACCCAGCTCCTCCTGACAGGTTTGCTTCGTGATCCAGAAGAATTGCGCGGGCTCGGTGTCGATACGGGTGACTAGCTTGTCAATGTCAAACAAGAGGGCTTCGGAGGGGGCAAAAACAGCGTCAACCACGGGATTGCTACCACGAGCGAGGTAAGAGAGCTATTCCGAGAAATTGGTCAGCACTTATCAATCCAACCATGGCGGATAGGGTAGCCACTCACCTGAGCCGCGGCGCTGTAGGGCGCTACGATGAATTCGACTCCGTTTTGGGTCAAAATTCGTTGCAGGAACTTGAAGAGGGTCTCCGGGGGTGGGGTGCCTGGGGATTCGGTTGTGTCAGCGATTATTGGGAAGCTCTGCTGTGCGCAATGGAAACGATAAAGGCTCGCGAGGTCCACCACCGGGGAGATATGAAGATAAGGATAGTAAGTGATCATACCAGCACTGCTGAAAGCATCGACCACCTGATCTGCCTGTTGCTGGTCGTAAAGGTCCCAAGCTTGTTCGAATGAGCGCGGCGCTGCAGGCTGGGTGCGCTGCTCCTTCTTGCCGAATTCCAAACCATTGAAGACGAAGATCGTGGCGACACCAAGGTTCTTGAAAATCTGCAGTTCTTTCTCGATGTTGGTCCTCAGGGCGAATGGGAATCCACCGAGTGCGCCTAGAAGCGCTTCCCGGGTTGACTGGTTCACGAGGTGTTGGTTGATGTAGTGCGACGCATCGATGCCAACAACGGCACCCTTCAATGCTGAGAGAGGGAGGGACTGGGTGCGGCCAACGACCCATTCATCGAGAGGACGGACTAGTCAAGATAAAAAGATTAGCTGGTGCGATTGTGGATTGTGGAGCTGTGTTGCGTACTCGGCATGGTTCTGGAGCTGTCTGTCACGGGCTGAAAGCACGGCAACGCCGGGCTTTGATGCCCGAAGGGGGAAACAAGAGGTTATAACAAAGGTAAGAGATCAAAAGCTCCGTGTTCCGGATATGATGAATCGGAGCTGGGATTGTTTGGATTTTCGGAATGGGGGAGAGCGAGATCACGAGGGGGGGGGGGGGGAAGGCGGAGTTTGGAGTTGGCCCTTTTGTTTTTTTGCCTTTTAACGCATCACATCAGTGTCGCTTGTTTCAACCACTTCTTTTTTAGTTTTTGATGGTCTGGTATATGCTTTGGTT